GAGAAAAGAACAAGACAAATCGAACTCGATCCATGATAAATGTAGGAGTTGAACCAGTTTTTTTAAAACACACAGCTCCGGTTTATCGATGTATGTGGCGAGGGCTTCTGCAGTACAAAGGAGTCGGAAACAGGCTAAATTTGGTAAATAAGTGTCTACTTTGTAAATGACTCTAAGCAGTGAGTCAATTGAGATGTCGCAACAGATGGTGATGAAGTGTTCACTTATGGCGCTCTTGATTGAACCAGTGCCTTCTCTTCGTTTTATAATTTCGTTTCCAAGGCCCTTGTAATTTATGTTCACACCATTGACCTTTCATGTCAAGCTGAAAATTATTATGACCCTGAATCTCCCTCGTTACTATGTGAAATGAAATAATAATTAAGAAATCTGTGTAAACACAGGTTGCCTCCTTCACTTATCTGGGAAGGATCGTTTCAGCTGCAGGTGGAACGGATGAAGATGTCAAAATCAGAATCGGAAAGGCAAGCTACCCCTTCATCAACCTGAAACCAGTTTGGAAATCTTCTGAACACAATCAGCATAAAGAACAGGATTCGCATTTTCAACACCAAAGTCAAATTGGTCCTTCTATACGGGTCGGATACTTGCACTATAACGAAAGGGATTTCCAACAGACTGCGGACTTTCATCAACAGCTGCCTTCTTTAGCTTCTTACAGAAGATCAAATGGCCAAAAAGAATAAGCAACAAAATCTCTGGGAACAAATCAACGAATAACCGATTGCTCAACAAATATGTAGGAAAAGTGGAGATGGATCGGGCAAACGCCACTGAGGAGGCCGCCGAGTGACATCGCACACCAGGCCAGTGCTCGAGTGGAATCCAAATGGGGAGCGACGAGTGAGCCGTCTGTGCGAAGGTGAAATGAAGGAGATCGTGTTGGGGAGGAAGAGATGAGACCCAGCTGAAGAGAACTGCAGAAAACAGAACAAAGTGGAGATGTGTTGTTGAAGCCCTATTTTCCACTCATAACGCAAGGGAATAATAATATTATGGTAAAAATGTAAACTTATGTATATGAATGTGATTGTACAGCTTTTGAGAATGAAATCTCCAGAAAGGCAGAAAAAATCATTGCTGAACTTCTTGTTCCTTTCTCCTTAATGTCTCGATGGGTATTTTCCCTCAATTTAGAACAGAATTTGACTTGAATTCTGTATTGATATAGCCAATCAAAATATGACAATTCATATGTTTATAAAATCGATGAAAAAGTCAATATATGTCCGTCATTATTAACAGTTTATTCGCTTGAGACACCTCAGAGAGGAGAACTATGCTTGAGAACACAATATTCAGTGAAGAGACTGAACAACGAACTTATTGTCAAGTTGCACAGTGGTATATATATGGTTTTTAAGAAATTATATCCAGTGAGGGAATTAGGTCAAAGGTGTGAACACATGAAATAATAGTAATAGTATGAAATGCAATTAAAACTAGAATGTTTGTGATTATAATCATAGTTTAATGTCAAGTGGGAAAACAAATTAATGTAATATATAGAATAATACATAAGGTGTATAGATCTTGGGAAGGGGTGCATAATTATAAGATTACTAGGCGAATATAAGATGTTACATAACATGGTGTGAAATTTGATAAGATAGAATTCAATATTGTAAAAAAATTAGGAGTTAGAATGACAATTGGGACAAGCGAAAGTAATTCAGAGTGAGAATAATAATCGTATTAATGAGGGAAAGGTACGTAGAATAACTAAATTAACAAAATAAATAAATAAATGTCTATCCATCTAGGGATTGTACATACTTCTTTTGGTTAAAAGTCATGAATTGCCAGGGCCTCCGCTGTCTTTAGAAGTCTGTAACGAAGAAAATGCGGGAAGTTATCTTGCATTTGGTAGATGATCTTAAAATCATGGTCAGAGTCGGCAGAGTGACAGGAGTCGATCAGGTGTTCTAGAATAGATCTTCGCACACACTTCCTTTCTCCCTCGTAAAACCATGCTGGAAAATGTTCTGATATCCGTGGGGTAGAAAGCATCCTCTGGCTACGGCCAATGTACCTTGCTCCTCAACAGCAGGTGAACTGATAGATTCACATGGAGGTGGCCAGACGGGAGAACTTATCCTTTACGGAGATGGAGAACAACTTGCAGCTGGTGAACGTCATTTACAATTTTGCTGCAAAGAATGTCTTACTGACTGATTTAGAGAGACAGTTTTTGAGCATATCTGAGGCTTGATCACCTTTGAATTCCAAATTCATGAATAAAGTTTTCTTTGAAACTGAGTCGGTGACCAGTTTAAACTGCTTATGTTTGCGACTATGCTTGAGACACCATATATATAAGCTAAAATTTTTGTAAATTCTACTCATTATTACCAAAAAATGTTTCCTTTCTCAGTGAATGAAAAAATAAAACGAGGTTGTTTTTTAACTGGTGTTTTGTTATTCAATACTAATATCATTATCAAAATTAATATCCCTTTGATAAAGCTATTAACAGAATTAAATAGCGAAAGTTTAGTAAAATTACTGCATCCTTTTGTTTTTCAATCCCTGGGGACTACAAAGTTAAACTAAATAAAAATTTTGGTGACGGTAGATGGCGTGCCGCTAAGTCATTCATGTGCAGATGATAATGGTGTGAACCAATATTCGGATATATTTACTATAAATATGTTCCAGTAGCTCAGTAAGCTATCTTACAATACACTGACAAGTCACTGAGGATGTTATCATTATCACTATTTTATTACTATTATTATTTCACTCTTGGATTCCTAGTAGAATTTGGAGCCTCAACAGAACGTTTCCACCTTCTCCTATTCTCTGCAGACCTCTTTAGCTAGTTCCATGATTGCCCAGAGCCTCTTATCTGCTCCTCTCACTACATCCTCCATGTCACCCTCGGATCAACGCTCAACTCGTTCTTTTCCATTCATGTTTCACTTGCGAGATAGTCTGGAGTGCGGTGTCACCCGAAAATCTCCTCAGCGTATGACAAATGAATCCCCATCTTCTTCTATATATTGTCGATCAGCAGGTTCTTGATTTGTTTGTTCCCATAGTTTCTTATCGTTAATTCTTTCTAGTCAGCGATCTGATGTTCAGTATGGAGCCAGCGAAGGTGGCAGCTGTTGATAAACGTCTGCAGTTGCCTGTTAGAAATGCTTTCCGTGAAGTGCATGCCAAGTTTCTGACCCATATAGAAGCACTGACTGACTTCACATTTGTGTTGAATATCCAAATTTAGTCCCTCATTTTGGTTACAGAAGATATCCAAACTGATTTTAGGGTGATGAGGGTGTATTTCGCCTTTCCAATCCTACCTTTAACATCCTCGTCCGTTCCTCCTGTAGATGAAACTATGCTTCCTAGATAAGTGAAGCGAGTAACCTCTGCCAAATCTCTCCCTATGATAGTGATTAGTGCTGGTTATTGTTGCTGTTGGTCGGTCGGTTATCTTAATCAACCCCGTGCTCTCTATGTTCACTTGCAGTCCTGTCTTCGCTGCCTGCTTCTTCAACCAGTTTGTTGGTTTCTGCCTGACTGTATGTCTTCAAGTTTATGTGACATTAGACATAAACCATCAATGAAATGTAGATCTTCTAGAGTCCTCTTATCAGGCCAGTGTATTCCGGTCTTCTCACTCCCTGTGTACAGTCTGACGCGTAACCCGATCCACCACAATCAGGAATATTACCGGTGATAATAGGCAGGCAGCCTTATCCTGCCCCTTTGTTCACTCCAAGGACTTCGCTGAATTTTCCGTTGTGGATCACCTGACAAGAGCCATTATCATATAGCTTTTTAGTGAGGTTGATGAAGATTTGGGGCACTTCATAGTGTTGAGGTAGTTTCTAGGCTACTTCTCCGTTAACGCTGTCGAAGGCATTTCCAAAGTGGATGATGCTGAAGTTTGATTGCCATTCTATGCCAAGGGATGTGAGATACTAGATGATTACAGGCAATCAGCTTGAAGCCCTGCACCTAGATTTTGTGCTTATTGGCACTCGTCAGCGCACAATGCATAAGATCCTAGCAAAATCTAAATTAGTTGACTCAAATAAGATAAGAAATATAGAGAACAGTTCAGCTATAGCACTAACTACATGCAATTACACACAACCACACAAATAGGATAGGATAAGATGACAATTTTCAAATCTAATGTCACAGGGTGGAAGGAGAGATTGATAACAGAAGCTTGGTTTATCGAATCAACTGCAAGCACGTGTAATAGGAATGATTCAACACCTGTCCCAGACATCTGGAAAATTATACTACCCAAACAACGGCAAATAGGAAAGAACAAAGAAAACTATAAAACTCAAGTTTCGAAGTCGTGTGATTACAATTGATGAAATGATTATGAACAATCATCAATTTTGTTCGAAACGTCATCCAGTAAATAATACTGTTTCTTCACTGTGTGATATATCTAATAAACAGATCAATATCGAACTAGTGTTCTGTTCATACTTTTTATATTCCTCTAAAATTTCTGAGTAGATTACTCGATATTACTAAGACTAACACATCGGCAATCATTTGGTTGGTGGTGGCTAATAATAAATTGGTGGACGCGTTCCACGTCTTCTTTAGAACACAAAGACTGGATCTACTTATTCTCCAGTCAGTGAGGATTTTTACAATAATTCTCGAACTCAATACCCATCACTCCATTAGACCAGCAGGATACGACAATCATCTTTTAAGCAATGAGTTTGATTTGAAATTATTTATTTTATGTCTACGAACTCGCGGTGACATTTGAAATGACTTATGCCGGAATCGATCCTCGTTAGAAATACCACTATTTACTGGAGTGCAGGTACATCCAACTGATGAGTCCCGAATAAGACGATTCGCTTGTTCTAAATTCGACGACTAATCACCTCCAGTGAAGTAAATTTTGAAGCGTTAATTGTTTTAAATATTATGTCTTTTTGAAATGGTAAATTTTATTCCCTCTAAATCTTTGTTGTTTTATATTTATTTTAAAGAAACTCAGGGCAGAAATGTGTAAATACAAAAACTGAATCATGGAATCAAACTCCGGATAAATCTTCACCCAATTCACCTTTACCTAGTCTTCCACAGTCGTCAATAGCGAATTCACCTCAAATACCAACGACTTCTTCTCCTTCTTCACCATCTTTGCCTCTTCCTTCTTTACCAATAAATCAATATCCTCCTCAGGAACATTATCACCATCCTTATCACCCTGCTAATCATCCTTATTCACATTCATCTTATGAGACAATAGTCAATGGAAATTTATCATCAAGACGAACTCAGGGAAAACAAAAGCTACCGCCTTACAAGACGCACCCCATACCTTTTACTACTTGGGTAAGTCTAACCTCTTTTCTTTGTGTAAATAGCGTTGAACATTAGTCGAAGTTTTATATATCTCCTTTCAAAAGATCTCACAGATGACGTTTTTAAAATGATATTTTCTCATGGGGATGCAGTTGTTCTACGTAGATAGGGTTCTTTGGCGAAATATTATATTCGTAACGTTACACTGAGATTGTCTGACTGGCTGACTGGTTTTCAGCATAGAGCTTTGTGCAGAAGTGTAGCAGTTCAACATGCCACAATCAGTATAGCACTTAAATGAAGATAAACTAGAGACTTACAGAAAAAGAGACTAAAAAGAGAATGACAATAAGAAGAAATGTGAGGAATAAAGAATAGCAACATGGAAAAACAATCTGGTTTTAATAGATACGGCAGTTCACAGAGAGTGAATGCGTCTGCTCCAGTAACAACTATTTTGAGACATAACTTCAACTGTCTCCAGCCAGTGGTTCTTAGGATCCTGAACACTCCAACCAGGAAGGCGATGGCTAGGTATACGTATGACATAACACAACCATCTCTATCGATGTTGCTTCACAGTCTCAATGACTGACTTCTCCCCCCCCCCCGTATCTGACACTCGACGCCCAATCTCAATACTACTCACCCTGTTATACCATCTAAAAAGGTAGACAGAATGTAGAAACCTGTGATGAAAGACAGCTATCCTTTTCATGTCTTCGACTTTCAGCGGCAACCATATCTCACAGCCAAAAAGCAGGACAACGCCATCTGATACAAAGTACACACGTCCTTTGATCGACAGCAAGCCGGATATCATGTCTACGCCAGAGATGTCATAAGTTGGCGAATGTTACAGGAGTCTTTTGCATTCGCGCTAAGATTTCGTCGGCAAACACTAGTATTTAGTGAATTATAGTTTTGTTAACTTTTCATATGAAAATTTCTACATGAATATCGTCACAACTCAATATCACTTCGAGACTCACAGAAAGTCAAGTTGTACTTGATAGCCTTTTTGTCGTAACTGGAGACTCTCCACAACTGTATTAGTAATAAAACCCAATAATTTCGGATTGTGGGGCAAGCAAGTTAGCCGTTCGTCGTGTGAGTCAGAATTCAATGACAGCTGTCTACAGCATCTTTAAATGATGCCAAGTGGTATGAGGAGTGTTGCATTTCTGCTAGTGTGTGTATGTGATGGAGGTGCTCACAATTCGTCAACACAACTCTGAACTCTATATCCGTAAAAGGTTAATCTCTTCCGTAATAGTTTGCTTTTATTTTTAGTAATTGTTTCGTCATTACATAATCATTTTGTACATTTTTTCACACCCTCTTCACAACTGTCAAGTGCATACTCATCTACCTTCTTAGTTCTCATTCAATGACAATTTTAACCTTGTGAAATTTCAAACTCTCTTTTTCCACTTTCTCACTCGGTATTACGTAATTTAAAATAACTTTCTTCGTCATTTTAGAACCCATTTCTGAGTAATTGTTTCAATTCGACTGAACTGTATTTTATTTTTTCAATGATCTCTCTATCTGATGTTGATTCTTGCCGAAATCTCCATTGAAATTATTCTAAATTCCTACGAAACCTGAAGTCTAATTATTGGTCTTCAGCTCATTAGAGGTTACAAGAAAAAGGTCCTAAAGTTTTCATGAGAAGTCGTGACCAGTAGAGTCTAAGATGTCAGGGTGAATCGTCTGGCAGTAGCAGCATATCGAGGAGTGACTGAAGTTAAAATTTATAGATAAATAAGTTCTGTCCCAGAGATTAAACGTTGACAGTTTCGTGACAACTAAAATCAACGTAATGTTGTCTGGACGTAGGTAAACCAATCTTCACGTTCTCCAGCATAGCTGGCCTCAACTTCTTTGAGTTACTCGCAGTCACAAAATGGCCGAAAGACAGCAATTGGACGGTTATTTTGCAGTTAAATCTACTGTGCTATTACAACTAAAAAGATATACAATACAGTCTTATAGGAGGCCAATCGCGTACCCAGATAGCTCAGTGGTAACGTCTCTGACTGCAGGCAACACTGGGTAACGCAGGTTCGAATCTCAAAAGAGACACGAGTTTCTTCAAGTTTTCAGATATGCCTTGCTGACTGACTGGTGAGTGACAACTATCACGAAACGTAGCTGTACAGATCAGATCCCTTTTCAGTTACAATTCGAGCGCTTCATAAGAAAATTACTTAACCAAATCAAGCGTAAGATGCACCTTAGAATCATTTAGAGTATTCCCAACAAGGTGGAATCAAAACCCTGTTCAGAAGAATCCCACGCCAAACAATTCCAACAGACAGTCCAATGTCAGAATGACCTTGAACCACGGAAACAAAATCACATCATAACACAATACACTATCAACTTATAATACAACCACAATAAGAAACAGTAAAATTAGAGATTGAAGAGGAAGAATGTCTAATAATTAGGATCAAGTCAACATGCGACATTCAAATGTCAAAAACAATGATGGCAGGAATGTCCATATAAGTATAAGTATTGTAATTGGTCAGTAAGATAGGGAATTTCTTAACAACAGTTCCACTACACTAGATATCATTCTTATGACGTTTGCAAATAATATACTGATTTCATCCATATTATTCGTCTTTCTTTCTCTTCAACCTCTAATTTTATTGCTTCTCTTTGAGATGGGTTGCGCGATACATTGATAGTGTGTTTGTACTAGTATGTTTTTTCATTCGAACTTCTTGTCTGTTTTGTTATTACCCTCATTTTAATCCCCATTTGCAATTTTATTAATTTAATTCTTGACCGAAAATACTTCTGAAAGTTTCTCATCCACATGCAATAAATACACGAATGTACAGTGTAGTCGAGATCTCCAATGAAGAGAATTTCTTCTCTGCAACCATCTTTTCAATAATTCCTACGATCTAATATGTATAAATCCTTTTTTTCCTTCACGTTCCCCAGTGGAACATAGAGCTTCAAGGTAGTGGCTTGAAGTTTCTGTAGCAGTGTTTATTTTATAGGATGTGGTTGCTAGCCTCATGCCCAACCTTTCCTCCTCACCAGCATTATTTCTGGCTTAGCGAGTTAAAGGAGTGCGTCGGCCGGTGATCGAACCCCTGACCATGTGCATGGTCGGCGAGCGTCCTAACCGCTATGCCATCGACGCACATCCATTATGGATAAAATTTTATTTTGATAAATCACACAGTGTGCTATAGAGTAAGTAATATTTACTGATGATAACCACGTTTCGAGCACAATTTATTACTGCTCATAATCATATCAAGTCACTTATGCACACAACTTTCTTGCTTCGTTTATATACATGAGTAGAAATTGGTCAGACATCTAAACAAAATCAGAAATAATAATATTAGTGCTATCAATAAAATACAATAAGATGCGAAATAAGATATTTTTTAGTAAAATAAATAAATAACTTCTTAGAATCTTATAATGTGAATTGAATTGAAATACATTTTATCATTATTTATTATCCTCTGATTTGACTGACTGGTGGTAATAATACCTTCCATATCTCTGGTATTTGCATTGAGTCATTTCTGTTGCATGTGTTGGGTGTGGACTCGATGAACTAGGATTCAGTAATCAGTCTCTCTCTCCACCATCTACATATATTACTTTATAGAATTTTAACTCTGTCCCACGATATTGTGTGATTGCGTGTTAATTCATGCTGTGAGATTGCTGAGTTTTTTGCTAAATTACTTATCTTCGTGGGATCAATCATTTTAACCTTAGCTAAATTCTTATGTTCTGATAATCTCACAACTCTTGATCTACCTCTATGTGTATTTTGTCATTTATCAATCTCCACTCTTCACATGGAACCTTGTCTACTTTACTAGATCGCTAGTTTTGTAGCCAGTCCGAAACCAGAGGAAAGAGGGAAGATTGGTCGTGGGGCGAGAGATACTATCCCGGAAAATCAATCAAATTGCTACGGGAACTTCATACCACGAAAAACAGCTTAAAAATATAAAAACCAAACTTATTTTTCTCTGGAATCAGAGAGATGAAATGACTCCGCAGGCTGGCGAAAGCCTTCGGGAAGCCAGTCAGTCAGCCAATGGGTCTTCTCATTTCAATGAAATCAAAAATAAGTGTGGGGATGTGGAATGTACGTACAGTGTATGAAGTTAGGAAGGCTACCCAGGTAGCCAAAAAAGAAACTGAGGGGACCGTTCACATCAAAATACATATTCAGCGATTACAATCACTGACTTGAAAATGCTGTAATCGTATGTACAATCGAGAACAGCTGATACACTAGTGAATATATATCTGAATTATATTCAATAACAATTACTGAATTATCATGCATAGATACATCTGCATATAATTAGCATACTTTGCTTACTAATTTATTTGTGTTTCTACACTGGCCTAGTCGTTTTTGCATCTCGTTTAATGAGAAATCAAGCAATCAAAGGATTTATAGTTTTTATGTAAAATAGTCTCTGTTTTGCAAAAGACAATAACAGAACTATAAATGACAACAACTCTATAATCACATATTATGGATAATGCAAGACACTTAGAGTTCGATATTATTATGACTGATGAGGATATCAAAGCAAGGATCGGGAAACCAAGACAAGCTTTCATTACTGTCAAGTCTGTGTGGAGGTCAACAGCACTCAGCATCAAAAATAAGGTCCGGATTTTCAACTCCAATGTGAAGTCAGTGCTACTATATGGATCAGAGACTTGGCGCGTCATAAAGAGCATCTCAAACAAACTACAGACCTCCATTAACAGCTGCCTTCGCTCAATAGTCAAGATCAGATGGCCCAGAAAAGATCATTAACAGAGATCTCTGGGAGCGAACCAACCAGGGACTGATTGTGAAACAAATAGGCAGGAAGAAATGGAGATGGATTGGCCATACTCTGAGGAAACCATCAAGTGACATCACTAGACAAGCCATTGCTCGAGTGGAACCCGAAAGGGAAGCGGTGAGTTGGTCGTCAGTGGAAGGGTGACTTGGAGGAGGTCATGAGAAGAGGAGATGAAAGCATGTAGGCAGACTTGCAGCCAAGTGAAGATTCTAGCAGAGAACCGAAAGCAATGGAGACGCACGGCTGAAGCTGTATGTTCCTCTAGGAATTAAAGAAAACAATAAACATAATATGTCTTGTTCTAACATTAAAAATGGGAATATTTAAAGATTTAAAAGGATTTTTTCAGACTGTGAGCATCCATTTTACTCGCGGTTTTCACCTTGCATCTCCCTCTCGAGTAGAACAAGAAGTCATTTCAAAAGACTTTGTGCACGTACGTCTAAGTATAAAAACTGCACAATACCATATTTGGCACGTATTTCATGTGATGAAAATCGTGTCAGACACAAACTAACTAAATAACTAACCTTCTTTCCACAAGTAAATAAGCAATTTCCTCCATCTTTATACCATCAAGTTTTACTGTCATTATTCCCACCAAATTTATAATCCTCTCATTTTCTGTTTTTGTTTATTTTCTCATAAATGTAGACATCATTTAAGCTCTGTAACTATTGTTTTTTTTTGTTTTTCCCCTCATCACGCTATGTTAAGAGAACATTAGATTCAATACTCTCTATAACATACTAAGATTTCCATACTGTATTGACACTACTGTCTAAAGCAAACCTACTGTTATTATTGCTATTACTATCATTATAATAGTTATTATTCTCATTTTCTGCTTTGCACATTTCTGACATTATTCCTACTGTAAAAATGGACAAATTCCTGTGGTTAATTTTATTTATATTTTGAGTAAATTAGATGCAATATTGTGGCAAATGCTGAGAATTCCATGCTGTATTATAAGTACTGTTTGTTTTGGAATAAAGCGGACCAGTATTATTATTGTCAAGCCGAAATCAACTTAAGTACAGCTCAAGAACAATAGATATATAAGACGACTGAGTGAGTGTCAAATGGTGATGGTGCTTAACGGTTTCCAATATTTGAAAACATTTTCCTATCAATACAAATTTAAAACAAGCAACAAATGTGTCAGTAAGACAGGATTTAATGAATTCATCAGATTCCGGCAGAACTCTTCAGCTGAATATTCTGCATACAGGGATACATATTTACTATTGGAAATACATTGGGAGATCTAAGACTGATAACTGATTGACTGACTGGTTTCAACGTAGAAATTTGTACTGATATGCAGCAGTTCGAGCTGTCACACTCTCAGACGCCTAACCCTCCGTTTCTCATCCCAATTCCACTCGAAGGTCTGGCGCGTGATGTCATTCAGTTGTCTTTTCAGTGCCTGTACATTTCACCTCGATTTTCTTTAGCACATCTGATGGGTGACAGGTTCTTGGTTTGTTCGTTCCCAGATTTCCGCGTCACCTCCCCTTGGTTTACTAGACGGCTTTAGGTTGGGAAAAAAAGGGAAGGATGTGTATACGGCTACTGAACCTACCCTGGAAAAGAAAGCCAGTAGTTACAAAAACTTAAAAGCACAACAAAAATACAAAAAATTAAACTTATGTCTAGTTAGCGTGGTATTATTTTTTTGGTGGTGATTATACTACTACAAGTCACAATATGATCAATTAAGGCGAAATGGAGATTAAACTAACAACAGAATTGTACCGACATATTGACTACGCAGGATGTCCGCAGTAATTTAAACAACAAGTAACTATGGTAACCAGGTAAATTAAACAACGACATATCAAAGTGACTAGTAAAGAATATGCCGAAATCCGTATAAAAGATATTTTCTGTTAGACAAAGTGAGGGAAAAAGCGGATTTTATCAGTGAATAACATGAAATCAGATGTGTATGAATGTGTGCATAAGTCATCACGGAATTAGCACTTTTGCCTTTAAAGGCGCAGTTATTTGAGCTGTTGGATTTAATAGGATTAGACTTCATTATAATTTGCTAAGTAAGAGAACACTGTGGACCAAAAAGAACCAAATAACAGTCTTGTTTCAGCTCAACAATGCCTAGTAACTTCTCTACAATAAACAAAGTCTAGGACCTTATCATGAGCTGACATTGGTTAGAGAACCATTGGAAAACATGTAGGGAGTACTGGACGGCTGCTTAGTCCTAGTTTGGGACTCTTCAGCAGTATGCACCCACCGGGATTCGAACCCAGGACCTTCTGGTTACAAGGCTAGCGAGCTCGTAGACCATTAAGCAACTGGGACCCGATCCAATGGCCCGTGATTTCTTACTTCTGCGAATTCACGACATAGCGCGACCACTAGCCAATGTCTTCGGCGAGTTATTGTCCTCACACTCGACCTGCTGCACCCTACTGGTCACGACTTTCCACTAGAACCTCAGGTAACCACCTACCTACCATTGTCAGCTCATGATGTAATCCTGGAACCAGTCAAATCCCTGCAAACCAACACCTGAAATCTAGGACCATCATGTTTCAGGGTAGGCATGAGATGAATTTCCGAAAATTATTACATGGATGTGATCAACTGGATAAATGGAGTAGGTTGTGAAGACAGTAACTTACCAATGACATGAAGCAGAGGTTTTATTCTACCAGAATCAGGCTTAGGGCAGCTTTAAGTAGTGACCTTACAGAATTACAACCAGCAGATGTAAGTGATTTTGTCTTGCCGCGCAACAAAATAAACAGGTTACATATATTGCTTTTGATCAGTTGACTGTCGGCGTCCGTAATTAAGATATTTGCTTGCTCCACCTGGATGCAAATTGTGCTGAGAAACAAAACAGGAGTCTGTGAAAGTTGTAACAGATGAAACACCAAGGGAGAGGGCTCTCGACTGGTTGCGCCACAGGATGATACTGCCTGCCGTCCTTGTCTCGCAAGAGGCAGGGGAAGGTTTGTTAGGTTCTCCTGAAAACCAATACCCAGTCAGTGGGTGTACCCTTGTGTGAATCGATATCAGTTAAAGAGATCATTGAAAACTAGGGATCACTGGACAGGTGTTTCGTCCTATTTTAGGACTCTTCAGTAATACACATCTACAACCGCACCAGGGTTCGAGCCCGGAACTATCAAGTTATCAGACCAAGCTTGTTGACTATTCAGGCACTTATGCTGAAATCAGTGACTAATGCGTTCCAATTCTGTCAACCCGATGATGTAGCACTGCTCTAACCAACGTTTTCGACATAACGGATCTCACTAGTCACGACGTCCCACTGAAGCTACTGGAAATATACTCAGGAGCCAGCAATGAGTTGGAGGTTGATACTCAAATTATAGAAGTTTGGTCTCGTAATTTGAAATAGTAATAAAGTGCATTTCTTTCTCTGTCACTTTTATCATTATGCAATAACTTTTTTTTAAGTGTAACAATATTCAATGTACAATGTCCACTGTCTTTTTAGTTTCAATTTAGCTCATTAAAATTACACAGAAACTTTTACATTGGAAAAATGATTTCGTCAATAGAACATCATTCAATGTTTCAACACAGTTCAATTGTCAATGTAAACCAATGAATGATAAATACATATCACATGACAGCAATTCAACACCAATGCAAAGAAAGATGAGTAATAGTAATAACAATAATTTTATGGATAAAGGACAATTGAATGAAGACAGAATTCTTTTTGATAGGTATGTGACAAAATGATTTTTAAATATCTTAGTATATAAAGGTTTGAATCGATTGCAATATTGATTTTGTTACGAATGGCAACTGCTGTTACCAAACTTGCCTTTTAATTGGTTCTTGTTAGGATATTTTTAGACTGTACCAAGTGTTGGTTTGTAGGGGTTTGATTGGTCATACGCTTGGTCCCAAGTTGACATCAGCTACAGAATCACTGGAAAACCTCGGAGTACTGGACAGCTGCTAAGTCCCAGTTCGAGACTCTTCGACAGTACGCACCCACTAAGGTTCGAAACCAGGACCTACCAGTTACAAGGTGACCTGGTAGACTGGTTAAGCAACTGTGAACCAATTCATGGTATATAAGGCGCAATCACCAAGCAGTAGTGTAGGCGAGTAACTCATCTCTTAATTGACTTGGCAGACGCAGCTGGTTACTAATTCCACTCACACAGATTCAGTTACGTCCCGCATTTCTATTTTTCATCACTACCTGTGGATGCAAGTAGTGGGTAATTATCGCACCTGCATCCGTCGGTGTTTGTGGTGGTCACTTTTCAGGGTCCCTCTTCAGAATCGAACCCCGACTACCCATAATTCGTTATCATCTACCGATAAACTGATAGGGCAGACACTTCGAAGACCTGTTACAGACACAAGACAGATTGTCATCAGTAAAGTTCTCCAGTCACCAAAACTTTCAGCACAGGCGACGAAAACTGATCCTCCTGCTTGGTTCTTTTCTAATAACTAAACCTGTTCCATAGCGGTTCAAGGCATTATTATTACTATTATTGTTCCCTTGGGTTCCTAGTGGAAAATAGGGCTTCAACTGCACGTCTCCACTTGCTTCTGTCTTGTGCTGTACTTTTCACTTGCATCCATGTTATTCCATACAGTTTCAGCTCCTCTTCACACTATCTCCTCCATGTCACCCTTGGACACCCGACTAGCCGCTTCCCTTCCGGGTTCCACTCGAGCGATGGCCTGACGCTCGATGTCACCCATTGGCCTCCTCAGCGAGTTTCCAGTCCATCGGTTCAAGGCATAATCGCATATATTGAATCTAGAACAACTACAATTTTCCAAGTGGCGTTTATGATTGAAAGAATCAGTTGATGAATATCAGAAAAGTGTGAAGCACCGTATTCTAATCCTCTAACTGAACGGTTAAGGGTGATTTGTTCGTCACGTTGAGACCCTGACTTTATTTCCATGATGATATCATGGGTGAGCACTTCTGAGGCTTCTCAAATTGAGATGAAACAATTGTGTAGTTTTCCCCTAATTCTCCTAACGGCATCGGATCTTGATGATGGCGAAATAAATCCCTGAGCTATCGCTAAACATTCATTAATTTTAATTTACGTGTCCATGCAAGTTTTCACCTAATTTTAAATTTGTATCTGAAAGTCTCAGTGTTATACAATAATATTTGCTGACGACGTTTTGAGCACAATTAATTATTCATAATCATATCAAGGTACTCAAATTGTGGGTGTACTTTGATATGATTATGAGCAATAAATTGTGCTCGAAAATTCATCAGTAAATATTACTGTATAACATTGTGTGATTTTATAAAAATAAAATTTATCCATAATGGAATTATACTATACCACAGTGCACAAGTTCTGCTCTTATATCTTGTATATGAAAGCTACTCAATGAAACTGTTCATGGAAATTTATATCTTAGTGTTGATATATCTGGGGTGAAATTCATCAGTCTTATTCTGGTATCTAGAGTCCTTGATCGGGATTTTTAGCTCCATTGTGAAGCCAGTGCTACTACATGGATCAGAGACTTGGCGCGTCATGAAGAGCACCTCCAACAAACTACAGACCTTCATCAACAGCTGCCTTCGCTCAATACTACGCAAGATCAGATGGCCAGCCAGAAAAGATCAGCAACAGGGATCTCTGGCAATGAGCGAACCAACCTAGCAGGAACCGATTATGCAAAAACTAAGCTGGACGAAATGGAGGTGGATTGACCATACTCTGAGAAAATCATCAAGTGACATCAAAAGACAGGCCCTCGAGTGGAATCCGAACCGGGAAGTGGAGAGTTGGTCGTCCTAGGGTGACGTGGAAGAAGTCATGTGAAGAGGAGATGAAAGCATGTGGGCAGACGTTAAGCCAGGTGAAAACATTGGCAGAGAACCGAATGCAATAAAATACGCACTGCTGAAGCCCTATCTTCCTCTAGGAACTAAAGGAAACAACAGTAATAATAATATTAGGGTCCTTGAATGGATATTCCAGTATTACCACGAATAGTTCCTCAAAGTTACTTGTTTGCTGATGGCTAACAGTAGAACTGATTGAGTGCATTTCTTCTCTTTTGAGTATCTTCATATGAAGCAAATAAGTGCTCGGTTTGAGTCAGAGTAGGAATACTAAAAAAATATAGGAAATACAAGTACAGCCAGCTGATAAGTCCCAAATAAAAACGTAATTCGCAGTCTGAATTCTCAAGCTAGCTAACACCAAACAAGCAAACTTTAGATATCCTAAAATGAAGAATATAGTTACTTCGTTTCAACATAAACGTATTCAAATTAGAAGAAATCGTAAATTATTAAATTGAAGATTTCGTGTATTTCAAACTCTGTGAACATTAGTTCAGCATTTGTAGTGAGTGAAACAAATTTTTCATCAGAAAAATATACAGTTTGGTGTAAAAAATATATTCACGAAGGTTTCCCATGCAGACATCTCAGATAACTTTGTCACATAATCCCTTGAACATAACTCAAGGGATTGAGGTGTCTTAATAGATGCTAACACTACTAAACTTCGCTTCATTCTGTGATTTTATATTGTAAAGTGCCAACTGGTCCACGTTTTCCCTGGTCTGGTAGATAATTTTAAAGTTAATAAAGTAATATTCATAACACCTACCTTAGCCATGAAGTCTGCATCAGTTATTGCATCGTAATCCATAATCTATTTGACCGAGCATACCTGGATGTTACATCATGGTGCCAACTGATGCTTGTTTAACATAAAGCCAGCTGATATCATTCAGCTCAATCTCATTTAGGAACTGAATACACTGAAACGTTGTAAACCCAAACAGCGAAGGCTAAAACTTCACTGCTACGGCCTCAGATTCAGTCTAAACCTTTGTACATCATGGGGACTAGAAAGCATGGATGCAAATGCAGTTTCCAATGAGTTAAAGTGCACACAGGATGAATACACCCACCGGAATTAGCACCCTGATCGAAGTCATTGCGGGGCCAAACTTGAAACTATTTTTGATCGACACTAATTAGCAAGCAGTGTAATGAGTCTAGTTCTTTTTTTGCTACGGGCTGAAATTTATCATTCAAGTTTGCAATGTGGCCACCATACCACTAGGTGGGTCGCCATCACGGTGCACTGTGAATTGTTGATATTAGATGACCGGAGGCAATCGGCCACAGGAAGCTTTACCTAAACCTAAACCTCAGTTTCGTGCTAGTTGGCACTCACTAGTCAGCAAGGCGATTCTGCAACCTTCAAGTAACTCATGTCCCTACTGAGACTCGAACCGGTATCACCCAGCACTGCCTGCTGCCTGAGACCTTATTGACTAGTGTCCAATCAAAAATACTCTCAAGTCTGTGTGAAGGTCAACAGTCAGCACTCAGAATCAAAAATAAGATCCGGATTTTCAACTCCAATGTGAAGTCAGTGCTACTCTACACGGATCAGAGACTTGCACTGCGCGTCATAAAGAGCATCTCAAACAAACTACAGACCTTCATCAACAGTTGTCTTCGGTCAATACTCAAGATCAGATGGCCAGAAAAGATCAGCAACAGGGATCTCTGGGAGCGAATCAACCCAGCAGGAACCGATTGTGAAACAAATAGGCAGGAGGAAATGGAGATGGATTGGCCATACCCTGAGGAAACCATCAAGTGACATCACTAGACAAGCCAATGCTCGAGTGGAACCCGAAAGGGAAGCGGCGAGTTGGTCGTCAGTGCAAGGGTGACTTGGAGGAGGTCATGTGAAGAGGAGATGAAAACGTGTGGGCAGACTTGGAGCCAGGTGAAAACGTTGGCAGAGAACCGAACGCAATGGAGACGCACGGCTGAAGCCCTATGTTCCTCTAGGAATCGAAGGATACAATAATAATATTAAATAATCAAAAATATCCAATTAAGTTCTACAGGAGGTCAATCGCGAGCTTAAACAGCTCAGTGGTAACGTCTTTGACTGTAGACGGCACTGAGTGACGCGGGTTCGAATCTCAGAAAGGCCATTAGTGTCTTCAAGGTTTCAGATACACCTTGCTGACTGGCGAGTGTCGACTAACACGAAACCTAGATCAGCTGTGGGCTTCCTGTAGCCAACTGCCTCCAACCATCTAAATTCTGAAACCAACCAGATCCCTAGAAACCAGCACTCTACTTTCTGTCTTGTAGACACAAATAGATAACAGTGTTTGAACAAGTTTATGCTTTCAAGATCAATACAAAATCCAGAATGCCAGTTTCGCCTTTCTCTTCAGCAAGAGACTTTACGTCTGCTGAATAAATGTTTATTGACATAAAAAAACTCAATTCATAAAATGCTTTCAAGTTATGAACACCAATCAACTTTTCAAAACGGCATTACATTCACATATTTAAACAATGCACCACAGGATATGAAATATAAAATTAGTGTGCAATAGAATATGTGAGCAACAATATAATAGTAACAAAGAAAGGAGAACAAAAGCTAGTGGGAACTATTTGTTAGAGTGCCGCAGTAAGTTGATCGTGTCATACCTAACAGTTTTCTCATCACATAACAGCTGTGCCAGATAAGGGATTGTGGAGTTTTGTACTTGGTAGTCCTGGCATATAGCCTCCTATAGTTGCTTCTAGTTCTGTCAGATGAAATGCAAGGAAAGAGCTGCGTATAGAGAGGGTGTTCGGGGTCTGACAATATAGAATTCGCTAGTTTCTTACATGACATTATATGTCTATCCAAAATGGTGTTAACCGGTTGGTTTAACGATA